CGGAATAGTTGTGCGCGAGATTCTTGATGTTTCTGCGTAGTCCGGCGACATTGACCTGCATATCGTCTTTTTGTTTTCTCACTGTGTGACGAGAAGAGTGAAGAGAGGTGTTAACATGGCTAGAACTAAGTTGAATTAGCTGCGACTACAGATTATGTTTGTAATTTAATATATCTGTTCTATATATCTTCGGTTTCTTTATCTTATTCCGATTAACTGAAATTTTTGATTGTTTTAATTTTGTCTTTACGTTAAACGCTACCAAAACAAAATGAATTCTGTGTTGAAATGAATGTCACGTTACAATATATATACATATATATATATATATAAATTTGTATATATATAAATGTTTAGAAGGAAAAATAATCAACACAAACACGAGAACACAAATAAATTCCAATATATCGCACAGGGGCGCATCCGATTTCCGAGACTGTGCTTATTTCAATATTTTGATAAACTATTACGTGTGTGTTTGTATGTGTGAGAGTGTGGGTGTATCTGTATCTGTGTGTTGTGTTGTGTTCAAAACTCAAAAACAAATGCGTGTTGTTTTTACTTTTCAAAACAAGGCAAATACTTGGCTACTTTTGTATATTATTGCATGTGACTTGAGTCTAAAGATTAAGCTTAAAGCTCTGCTTAAAGTTCCATGGAAATGCGTGCCATTCGAGCTTTTTGCGTGAATCTTCTGCTTGAACAGGCACTTGAATTAAGTGCCTGTGAGCTTAAAGCTTCTTCAGACTCGTCGCATAAGCTTCTGCTTGAACAGACACTTCAATTTAGTGTCTTTCAGCTTAAAGCTTCTTTAGACTCGTCGCATACAAAACATAACAAGCCACGTTCACATTAATTCAGTGTCATTTTACAAGTAGTTTATTAATATGTATACAATTAATCATAGGCGGTGTATTTTTTAGTAAATGATTATGCAAAGAAAACATTAAGACTTACTTTTCGGTTTGTTTTTTGTTTTTTATTGCGTTTGACTTATACAAGTAGATTTGTTTTCGGTAAATATTTTGCTTTGCTTTCTCTATATGCTATATATAGAAGGTGTTTTTTTTTAATTGCTTGAATTTGTTCTTTAGCTTTATATTTTGTTTTTGGTTTTAGTTTTGTTTTGCTGTTTAAGTGCTCCAAAGCAAGCTAAGTATGAGATACAAGATAATACAGTCAAAATACGTAGTATAAAAGTACATATGTATATATAGTTATGTATATATAAGATAAATATTTTGTTGTTGTGGTTAAATATACATATGTGCACTAGTAAAGCACACCAAAAGATAAGTTAGAAATATATTTCAACTGTGCAACAAAAAGATAAATATTTAAAAAATTATTAATAACGAAACCAAACAGAGCCCGCCGTAGGATCCAAGTTCGAGTCTGGGACAGACCTCAACAGAGCGAGAAGAAGACTTTTACTAGGCAGAATAGAGGAGGAACTTGTAATTCAATTTGCAAGGAAAATGAAGGAAACAAGTAAGATGGGCAAATTTAGAAAAGCTGCGAAAAAGGTCGCATCTGAAATACTCTGCACACTGATAGATAAAATCTGACTGATATGCTGCACTAGCCTACAAGAGAAGAGTCGTATAAAAAGGAGAATGAAAAGATAAATATCTGCCAGCTGATTAAATATTTAAGTAAACACACTTCTAGAACTCACGACCCTGCTAATATGCGATTTCCCTATGCCTCCGGCTATGCAAATTTCTAAGAAGCCACAAAAATGCCACGAGCAGACTGCAACAATGGGGAAGGGTATTTTTAAGTACCGGAAATAATGGAAAAACATGTTTGGAATAGGCAAAATTGCAGCTAAGCGTCGTTATGCAAAATGCAAAATTATAATAATTGCACTTTTAATAAGTGAAAGAGGAAGAAACTATGCAGAAGGCCTTCAACTTTTAATCAATGCAAGAACCAAATAAAAAAATCAAAGTCCAACAAAAAGTTCTAATTGGGAATACATTTTAAAAAGTTTCCAATCGGGAATGTTTTTGAAGAACAGTAAAAAAAAAACAGCTCAAGCTAATCGAAAATTATGTACGTCACAAATCTGCAAATCTGAAAAACACACACACCCACACACACGCACAGTCTTTATGGCGTAGCTCACTTTAAGCTGATAAGATATCAGCGAGCATTAAGAGTTTATTTTATTTATTTCACTCGCAGTCAGGTAAACACTGATATTTCAACATTGAGATTCTAGAACGAGTTGGAATGCGTAGTTGCCACCGAAGTGTGAGGAACGCACTTGACACATATTAAAGCCGGCTTGAAAAGAAACTACGTGCAGAACTCGAACTCGAACTCGAGCTCGAAAAGCTCAGTTCGAAACTAGTCGAACGGGTATTCGTATATGTATATGCACAGTTGTATGTGTTTGTGTTTTTGTGAATGCTGCGGGATTCATTGACCGCTGCCGAGTTGTAATAATGGGCCGTGCGTGAAGATCAGAGAGAGCGAGCTTTAAATGCGGGCCGGTCGTTAACGGTTTGTTTGTTTTGTTTGTGGTTTGCTCTCAGTCTCCGGCTCTCTGCTTACTGCAGCAGAAATAGATGTAAAAGGTAACACGAATAATTCAATTAAATGTCGCACAAGGAAAACAAGCAAGTGAAGTTAAAGGAACTGAAAATGAGGGGGAGGTGCATTGGCCCGAACTTGAGCAATTGAATGCCAGACGCAAACAAGCAATAAACTAGAAAGAGAGAGCAAGCGTTACGAATCTGTATGGTGGCAACGACGCGCACTTTCTTTGTTGTGGCGCTTTATTTTTGCACTTGACTTTTCAGCGACGGCGACGTTTTTATTGCCAAAAATATATTAGTGTATACGTGTTTGTGTGTGTGTGTGGATAAACTGAACGGCTTGTGTTGTACTTTCTGCCAAGGAGAGCCTTGAATTTAACGTCAAGTTCAATGAACGTAGACTAAAAAACAATTCGCGCAGCGGAAGCACACTGCAGCAGCGGACGCGAGCTTTGCCGAGATCGAGATCACAAGCGAGACTGAGCGAGCGACTGAGTGCGTGATGCGAATTGATACGAATGTGATTTAAATGGCGTTCAGCAACAACAACAGCAACAACAACAACCACTTGCACACATTAGAACAAATTATTATTATGTGCTCTTTGTTTGTGTTGTGAGCTGTGTGCTGTGTGTTGTCTAATGCTATTAGGAACCCCCTTTGTCTGTGCGGTTTGTCCGTTTTATCGTTTAGCGCAACGTTGCGAATGTGTGGAATCGATAATGGGGGAATGTCTAGTCGAAGGTCAGCGCATTTGCATAGCGCACAGCCCACTGTGCAGGCCTCTGATCTTGCGCGCGCTCTCTCTCACTCTCTCTCTCGCTCTGTCTCTCTCGCATCTTCAATTCTAATGTTGCATTTTGGTGCATGCAGGCGTACAATTTGGGGCGTGTGCATTCTGTGTGTGTGTGTGTGTTGCTGCGAGCGTGTGTGCGTGCGTGTGCCTATTTGATAACAAATCGAAAGGAAAAATGCGATTAGATTTCATAACTACTTATTTGTGCGCATATTTGTATACATTTCCATGTTGGTATGCACTGACAACTGATATATGCGACACCTTCATTCATTAGTCACTTCTAATACGGCGAAATGGGCAACATAAACCAGTTCCAAATGGCCCGGCTATGACTAAGCCGCGGCGCGGCGGAACGGCGAAACGAGCCGGCGAAAATACAGCAGCAACTGTTATCAACAAAATGATAAATACGAAAAGAAAGAAATAGAACTACAACTACTACAACTACAACTAATAAACCCACAGTTTATATATTTTTATATACAAATAATAACAACTTCCGTTTAGTGAAGTATAGTATAAGATGACGTACACACACATACACATACACATATGTATATGTACAATATGCTTGGCATACGCTGCCAAATGCATAAACAAATGGCAACTATTTCGAAATCAGTAATAACAAAATAAAAACACAAAAAAATAGTTGCTGCCAGTTGCCAGCAGCAAATACAAATGAAAGAAAACTAAAGAGAAATGCTCGCCCCAAACGCTGCCCACGTCCGCTTACCTGCTGCAATACTTCTGACTTCTCTCCGCACTGCGCGTTGTGTTGCCTGCAGTTAGCTAGTCCGTGTATATGTTTGTGGTGTGCGTGAATGTATGTCTATGTGTAGGTGTGTATGTGTATGTGCATGTGTGTGTGTGTGTGTGGTGTGATGTGTGTGGGGCTCCAAGAAACAACGACAACTACTCCTCCCAGCTAGTTTTATATTTTTACGACTTTCTTTTTAAATATGCCCGACAGTCACAAGACGATGACAACAACGGCGACGTCAACAGAATTGCAGTGGAAACTAATTGTATATGTCGAAGTGCACGCGGGGGCGTTATTTACACTTTTTGCACGGAACACGAATATTAGCCAAATATAATATGAAACAGAGCAATGATTTTCTTGTTTTGTATGGCTTTTGCGTTTGCTTTCTTTTTCTGCTGCTGTTTTGCTCCGTCTCCACTCGCTGACGATGGTATTACTAAAACAAAAGGTAAAGAAACGATACATCGATATAAAGTCGAGTAGCAACTACGTGTTGCCAGCTATCGATTGCAAAGCATGGCTGAATTGTCGATTAAATAAAGCTAAAATGATAATTGGCCAAAAAAATATAGCTAAAAATAGTGCTATATTTTTACTAGTATTTTATATAAGTTTTGTTATTAGGACAAGTTAAAACTTGACCAAAATATAAGATGTAATTATTTCAACGACTGCAGTTAGATAACAGCGTGAAAGGCATGTTGTACATCTATAACGTTATGCATTAACATACCTCTGCTATAACGATAACATCAATAAGTCGATTTACTTTACTCTGTGCATTTTTAACACTACTTTTATTTCGATTCGATTTGAAGGCGGTAAGATTTGAAATATGAATCAGCCTTTAGTAAATAAACATAAGCTATATTGGAATTTCGAACCGATGTTATTCTGTTTATTTACGACTTTATTTAGAATACCATTTTCATTTTTTTGTTTATATAATTACGTGCTACAAACTAAATTCATTTGTTAACCAACTGATAACAATATATATTTTTCTTTCGTGTGTATGTGCGTTGCTACGTTTGTGTGAGTGTATGTGTGTCTGTGTTTTGCTCGTTCTTTAACATTAACTCGATGTTTGTTTTCTGTTTATATATATTTTTTTTTGTTGTTTTCGCTTTTTCTTTTTTTGTTTAATTCTAAGTACCTACTTGTAAACTTTTCAACGTACATATGGTGTATACAGTTATTAAATATTTATATTCGCTTTCACTTACTGGCCAGACAAGCTGCCCCCGCGCCCCCTCACTATTCCCCCCACACCCGCCCAGCAATCAACTTAAAACTTAAGCCTGTCCCCGGTCGCCGTTCGTCGATCTGTCCTTGGGTCCACGTAAATTGCAAACGAATTTTCCGATTTTTCTTTCGTTTTCGTTTTTCGTTCTGTTTTGCTACTTTTGAAAACGGAAACGCTCGAAACGCTTAAATCGAAAATCATAGAAACTAAATTAACTTAAAACATACAATCCAAATTGTTCGTTACGCTGCTCGATGCATGCCACGCCCCCACACCCTACGCCCACGCCTGCCAGCGCCTATTTCATTTAAATAATTGTTGTGCGTGCTTTTTTTCTGTTTTTTTTTTCATTTTTTTTTTGTTTTTGTTTTTTTGGCACACTCTCCGCTCCGCTCACTCCTCCGGCGGCTCCTCGGGTATTTGGAGATTCTGTGCCGCATGCTCCGAGTCGCCGAGCAGAACCGACGGATACTCCTCGTGCACCGAATTGGACTGCGAATCGGCGAGCTCCTCGAGCAGATTCGATTTGCTCGTCGGCGGCGGCGTCGTCGTCGCCAGCAGCACATTCGGTATATACTCGACTGTCTCATACTCTGTTTTGGCCACCGTATCGGCGACGCGCTGCTCGTGCTGCTCGGAAACGACAGCCGGCATCAGCGGCGGCTGCAGCTGCTCCTGCGCCTGCTCCAACTGCTTCTGCTTCTGCTTCTGCTTATGCTCCTCCAACTGGTCCAGTGTGCCGGGCAAATCGCCGCCTGTGGCATTCATGTGTCCCGGCTTAACGGATGCCTTCAGATTGGGCTCCTCTATGTCCAGGACGACGGGCAGCGTATCGTTTGGTTGCGGCGTCGTTGTGCTCGTCGTGGTCGTGGTCGGCGCTGTGGTGGTCACCATTTCCGGCGTTGCCAGTGGCTGACCTATGGGCGCAGGCGTTGTCGCCGGACTGATTACGGGCGGATTCGTTGTCGTCGTCGTTGTTGTTGATGTGCTTGTCGTGGTGTTGTCCAGCTCCAAGTGCAGCACCGGCACCGGCACCGGCGGCGTCGGGGTGGCCAGCAGCAGCGGCGGCGGCGGCTGGGCAGCTATTATGACCGGATTGATCAGCGGCTGGCCCAGCGTCGCAATTAACGGCGGCAGCAGCTCATCGTTGTTCTTGATCAGGATGGGCGAGGGCACCAGCATCTGGACCAGCGGCTTGGCGTCCTCGGCATCGCCGATCTTCAGGTTGGTCACCAGCAGCGGCAGATCGAAATTGTACAGCATTGGCAGCACCGTGCACACCTCCTGGTCGTTCTCGAAGCACTGCGAGCGGCCGCGGATGCGCGCATCCTGCGCGGCCATCAAACGACACAGCTCGTTCAGGCGCACATCACACATGATGGGATTGTCTGAGCGAAAATAGTACAACACGATATAATTTATAAATTAAATATAATAATTATACAAATATTATTAATTACGTTTCTAACTTGGTGTCCCTCGCTCTTTTAGTTCCCGAGATATGCCCAAGAAACCTTTTTACAAACTCGATATTTATCGATGTTACGAACACGGGCGTGTAAATAAGAAAAGATATACGCATTCTGCCTATGGAAATGAATTATATTTAATTCAAGCAGTTCTCGGTGGATTATTTCACCAAACGACTCTCATTTGGGCAACATATTAAGAAGAATCCCGGTTCGAATCCAGCGCATGGGCCAGAACCAGGCATTCTCTTAGCCAAAGGCCTCAGTAGTCAGCTCTATTTACGTTCCTGATGATAGTATGGAACCAGATCTATGCTTCTTATAATCATAATAATAATATTCCAAATTCAGGACTTCAGCTCTTATAGGGTCTTATATTGATATATCCTGTATATCCTATATATACGTGCCTCGATACCTTTGTTTAAAGTGGCTTGTTCCTCATTTGGCATTTCATCCATCATACATAAGCCCAATAGATAAAGGCAGGAACTACTACATAGTCAAGCGAATTCCACACACGATACTCCCACAATGGGGCCTACCTCAATGGGCAGTTTTTGAGAAGTGCTCATCTCGTGGTACCGACTAAGGGAATTGGCTGGCCTATTTAATCGAATTTGAACACGGATTTGGAGTAACAGTAAAATGTTTCTCTTAGTCGCCTAGTAAAACAAGTCGTGGACATACTGTGGAGGTATTCCAGTATCCGCCAACCACACGGCTGGGACAGACAGACATGGCCACATTGACTCAGCTCATCTACCTGATCAGGAATATGTATATATATACAAACTGGTATTGAAGATGATATCTGAATACCTTAATACTGTTTTTTTACTCTTTTTCCTAAACATTTTCTATGAGTAGAAGGCATAAAATTTATGTTGACAATTTTTGTTTGGTTTAAAAAACTGTGGATTCTTTCGAAATTTCCTACTGCAATTTTTTTAAATACACTTAGGAAAAATTCTAGAATTTAGTACCAAAATCATAAAAACCCCGATTTGAAAATGTAGCTTAACTAAATTGAAGTATAAAATGCTTATTTTAAGTACAATTTGGTTTAGTACGAATAAACTTGAACTATTGTTGTTTTTCCTCGAACATGTTTTTAAAAAATTGAATTAATATAAAATATAATTGCAAGTAAAATGCATTTTTTACTTGATTAAATCATTTCAGACTTATAAGGATATAGGACTTATTTAGATTGAGAATAAGACCATTTAGAATTAATCTTAAATAACCTACGTTTTATACTTAAATCGCAAGCTTTTATCTTGATTTTTGCATAACTAATAAAGTACACAAAAGTTTGTACCTTGGTTTTCTCTCAGTGTATTTGGGGTACTCACCATCGAGATGTATCTCCAGTTTGCCGGGCACATTGTGATTCTTGCAGCGCGTGTTGGTGACGAGTTCGCTGGAGATGGTCGAGATTTGATTGTTGGTCAAGTTGACCTGGCAGAGCACGGGCAGCCCATAAAAGTCGTGCTCCAGCTTGCTGATATTGTTGTAGGCCACCTTCAGGATCTTCAAGTTGGGCAGCAGAGTCTGCGAAAATAAACGAAACGTTGGTTGTGGCTAAATTCAAAAGGAAGTTCAGAGTTTTGACCTACCGTTTCCAGCTGCTTCAGTTCCACCAGTTGATTGCTAGTCAAGTCGAGAATCTCTAGGCGATTCATGCCGTTCAGGTCGCCCGGCATAATGTACTCGATGCGATTCTCCGGCAGGCTGAGTATGCGCAGATTGCTCAAACCGGCCAACGCCGAGTCGAGGGTAACAATCTGATTGTGATCGAGACGCAGATCGATCAGCGGCAGCTCCGGCATGTGCTTGTGGCCGGGCAGAAGGCGTTTAATGCGATTGTGGGAGAGATCGAGTATCTTGAGGGAGCGCAGGCCGTGCAGCTCCTCCATGGAGAACTCGTCAATGTCGTTGAACGAAAAGTTGCCAATCTTCAGCTTGGTCATGGGATGCAGCGAGGAGTTCAGCGAGCGTATATGATTGCAGGCCAGATTGAGGGTCTCCATCTGGCGACACGCCTGAAAGTCATCCTGCGCCAGAAACTCCAGCTCATTATTATACGCAAACAGTTCGTTCAGATACTGCGCATTCCTCAGCACGCGATCGAACGATCTCAGCCGATTGAAGTGCAGATGTATCGTCTCCAGGTCGTTCATGCTGGCCATGTTGAGGGGCAGCCGTTCCAGCCGATTGTTGTGCGCCATCAGCAGACGCAGCTTGCTGTTATCCGGCAGCTCTCCGTCCAGATCGCTGATGTTGTTCGCATTGATGAAGAGCGACTGCAGCTTGGTCAGTTCGTGGAGCGATCCGTTCAGCGATTCGATTTGATTCCGGCCCAAATGCAAGATGAGCAGGCTGAGCGGAAAGGCGCCACGATCCAGCCGGGTTATATTATTGCTGGGCAAGATCAGATTCGTTACCATTTGGATGCCCTTCAGATCGTCCTGCTGCACGGCTCGTATGTTACAACGGCCGATGTCCACGGTCTGGAGCAGCGGCATGTGATTCAAGACGTGCTTCGGAATCTCGTCGAGTTCGTTGTCGCCGACGCTTAAGTAGGTGACATTCGATAACCCGCGAAATGGCAGCTCTGGCAGCGATCTAAAAATAGCATCAAAAATAAATAATAACAGAAAATAGAATAATTAAATGCCATTACCAAAAATTAGATTCGGAAATAACAAAAAGACATCATCTATAAGTGGCTGTAACTAGATTCGAGTGGGATGGAATTGAACTTTTAGATTTCATACTTCATACTTTATCAGCATTGAGTTAGGGAAAAATCTCTTCAAATCTAATCTTCAAATTTTCTATTGCATACTTTTTGGCTCGCAAGTACCAATGACACTGGCTGAAAGCGGAAATTATGCATGAGGATGCGATTTTAAAAAAATATACTGGGTTTAACAATACATTAGAGCTTTGGCAGAGCTTTGAGCTTTAAGGGAACTCAACTGTGTTTACTTTACTTAAAATTCTTTTAACTTCCACAGAGCTTTAAGTTGTTACCACTATTTTAGCGATAAAACAGACTACTTATAAAAACACATTGGAGAGCTTTTGCAGAGCTTTAAGAGCTTTAAGAAAAATGAAGTGTGTGTTACTTTATTCACAATTCCTTTACTTCCACAGAGCTTTAAGCTGTAAGTTGTAACCACTATTACGGCGATAAAACAGACAACTTAGTAACAACACATTGGAGAGGTTTTGCAGAGATTTGAGAGCTTTAAGATAAATAAACTAAAATTACTTTAATTGCAAATGCTTTACTTACACAGAACTGTAAGCTTTAAGTAATTGCAACAATTTTAGTGATACAACAACCAGCTTATAAACAACACATTTAATAAAGCTTTTGCAAAGCTTTGGAGCTTAAGATTCATTAATTGTATAAATAAAATTTTTAAAAATTTAGGTCACTTTAAAAAAATACATTTAAGTGATTTCCAATAAACAAAATTGTGGAGCTTTTGTTGGAGTTTGAGCTTTAAACGAAATTAATTGTATTGATTTACTGTTCTTAAAAAGTTTTTGGAAACTCAAAGCTTTTTTAAGTATGTGTAACAGGAATTCAATATTTTCACTTTCTCTATTTTGAGGAAAGAAAATAAAGGTATCATTATATAAACCTTTTTCCTGATATGCCTGTAAATGTATCTGTAAATGAATCTGTAAATGCATCTGTATCTGTATCTGTATCTGTATCTGTATCTGTATCTGTATCTGTATCTGTATCTGTATCTGTATCTGTATCTGTATCTGTATCTGTATCTGTATCTGTATCTGTATCTGTATCTGTACTGATCTGTATCTGTATCTGTATCTGTATCTGTATCTGTATCTGTATCTGTATCTGTATCTGTATCTGTATCTGTATCTGTATCTGTATCTGTATCTGTATCTGTATCTGTATCTGTATCTGTATCTGTATCTGTATCTGTATCTGTATCTGTATCTGTATCTGTATCTGTATCTGTATCTGTATCTGTATCTGTATCTGTATCTGTATCTGTATCTGTATCTGTATCTGTATCTGTATCTGTATCTGTATCTGTATCTGTATCTGTATCTGTATCTGTATCTGTATCTGTATCTGTATCTGTATCTGTATCTGTATCTGTATCTGTATCTGTATCTGTATCTGTATCTGTATCTGTATCTGTATCTGTATCTGTATCTGTATCTGTATCTGTATCTGTATCTGTATCTGTATCTGTATCTGTATCTGTATCTGTATCTGTATCTGTATCTGTATCTGTATCTGTATCTGTATCTGTATCTGTATCTGTATCTGTATCTGTATCTGTATCTGTATCTGTATCTGTATCTGTATCTGTATCTGTATCTGTATCTGTATCTGTATCTGTATCTGTATCTGTATCTGTATCTGTATCTGTATCTGTATCTGTATCTGTATCTGTATCTGTATCTGTATCTGTATCTGTATCTGTATCTGTATCTGTATCTGTATCTGTATTGTATCTGTATCTGTATCTGTATCTGTATCTGTATCTGTATCTGTATCTGTATCTGTATCTGTATCTGTATCTGTATCTGTATCTGTATCTGTATCTGTATCTGTATCTGTATCTGTATCTGTATCTGTATCTGTATCTGTATCTGTATCTGTATCTGTATCTGTATCTGTATCTGTATCTGTATCTGTATCTGTATCTGTATCTGTATCTGTATCTGTATCTGTATCTGTATCTGTATCTGTATCTGTATCTGTATCTGTATCTGTATCTGTATCTGTATCTGTATCTGTATCTGTATCTGTATCTGTATCTGTATCTGTATCTGTATCTGTATCTGTATCTGTATCTGTATCTGTATCTGTATCTGTATCTGTATCTGTATCTGTATCTGTATCTGTATCTGTATCTGTATCTGTATCTGTATCTGTATCTGTATCTGTATCTGTATCTGTATCTGTATCTGTATATGTATCTGTATCTGTATCTGTATCTGTATCTGTATCTGTATCTGTATCTGTATCTGTATCTGTATCTGTATCCGTTTCTGTACCTATATCTGTATCACATTCTGTATATGTATCTGTATATGTATCTCTTGTATTTACCTATGTCTGAACCTGTATCTAGATATGTATCTGTATCGGAATCTGCACCTGTATCCGTATCTGAATCTATATCTGTAAGTGAATAGGATTCTGTAAGTGATTCGGTATCTGTATCTGAATCGTTTTCTGTACCTGTATCTCTCCCCGTGCCCCTCTAATTCTATTCGTGTTTGTATATCTTTATCGATGGCTGCAAGCGGCTATTAAGTTGTCGCCGTCGGGGCGCCAAATGGTCGCATTATTCATGATGGGAACTGGGCTGGGAACTGGCTGCTGGTGCCGCTGCTGGCCGGCTGGCTGGCTGGGATGATGGCGTGCAAATTGCCCATTGGCATCCAGTGGACATCCTTGGCGCCGTTATTGGCAGCAGCCTCCAATAGCCTCCTGCACTGATTGGCAGTCATCTATTTATAGAAGCGCCTGAGCGTTCCGAGACACTTGATCTTGATTGATTGCCCGCGGCGCGGAGCGAGTTGCTTGTCAAGCGTTGATTATGTAATGAGGAAAAACAGACTCAACGATTGCAAGGATGATGCATGTACGATATACCCAGCCGGCTGCAATAGATACCGAGTATATTGTATCTATAATGAGTGGATGCAGAGCGCGCGTTGAACTTGAGCGCGTATCAAACGAGATACACATGGAGCTATATATATATAAACGATATATATATATATATGTGATGTGATATACATACGGACAATTCCTTAACGTCAGTCATATAATTGTCACACGACCTAACTTGGCCTCTTGATCATTGATTGAACGTAATAATAAAATTCAATTAGGTCTCTCTCGCGCTCGCTCTCTCTCTCTCTTTTGCTCTCGCTGTCGCTGTCTCCTTCCCGCTCATTTTTCACAAACTGAGCTGACCCCAGGGAGACCAAACAAAAAAAAACAATAATAACAATAACAATTACAAATAACAATAACAGAAACAACGGAACATTCCATTTCTAAGTATTCATTAGGTCTCAATTTTTTTTTCACTTTTTCAGCTAAATGAGAAGAAAACATTAACGAAAATAAAGAACCAAGTTAGGGTAAACTTTCTTGTTGATTGTTTACTTTCTTAAAGCAAAACATTGCGCAGCATATTCATAAGTATATATATATATATATATTATATACACTCGACTGAAGTAGTTGGTTGTAGTTGTTATCACTTGGCCGGTTTGTACTTGGAATATTCCATAATAAATTATGTAGCTATCGTACTCAACACTTTTCGCACTTTTGTCAGGGCTGCACTCATTGAACTACTCCTCAACTGTATAATCAGACACACACACACATATATATATATATATATATATATATATGCAATTTGATGAGCTCTCTACACATCAAGACATTGCCATGTCGCATGGCTCGCGGCTTATCAGCCTGAGAAAACAAAACAAAAGTAATCAATGCATCAATCGCACAATCCACACATCCCATCCAATTTGCAGTCTCTGGACCCGACTTAAGAGCACGCTTAACTATTTCTATCTATTCCGTTAGAAAACCCCAGAACAAATAAAAAATATTGTTGACAAAAATGGAAACATTTTTGAGAATTCAAGTCGCATTGTGATCAGTCGGCGATCGTAAAAATGATCATTAAAATCACATTATAAAGTTGGCGCCAGTCATAAACTTATGACGAGCTCGTCGAATCGTTAAAACAGCTGCTCTTATCACAGCCAATTCACATACTTGCATATAAAAATACAACTCTCACACACACGAAAGACCACAAATACGCTGCCATTCGGTTTTTTTTAGCCGATAGGTAAAAGTCTAAAATGCGCTTAGGGCAGCTAATTTTGTGGATTTCGTAAACTTGAATTGGAATCTATAAATTCTTCTGCTTATGCTGGTAGAAGAGGATTTATTGAAAGAGAAGTCAGATCCACAGGATCTAAATGCCAGGATTAGAAAAATATTTAAAATAAAATAAATTCTTGAACTAAATATATCTTAAGTTTTACAACTGAAGAGTTTTACCTGCTTTTAAATATTGATAAGCTGTTATTTTAAAATATATCGTTATTATTTATTTTTAATGTCAGATAACATTTATAATTAAAGCCAACAATTTTCTTTAATTTTTTTTATACATAATTTGGCCTTGAGTCGGCCAATATTTTGGGCAATATTTTGACTTTGTCAAATGGACAAAGCTTCATAAAGTCCCATAATCAAAAATGTTTTGATTATATTATATTCTGTTGTATTTAATACTAAGGTTGACACTTGTTTTGTCGAGTATTAATAAAAAAAATAATGTAAAAAATCTATTCATATATATTAAAGAATTTTACTGACTGACTTAGTCAAAGCATTAAGCATAGGTCATATAGCAATAGAAAATTGCTGAAATTTGTGAATGAAATTGAATATTGAACAGCTTGCTTGAAAAACATCAAAAACTAATTCAAAGTGAGCTTTTCAAGCGTTGCGTTTTGAGACTGCGTGATGTCTGACTAATAAGCAGCAGGTCGCCAGTTCAAATCCAGCAGCAATTCGCAAGTTATATGTATATTTGATTTGATTAAAATTGAAGTTGTTCGTTGTACAAAATGAATTGGTTAACTGTTAACAAAGATGGGCTGATGGATAGTAACTTGTTTATCCTACATTATAAATTTAAGTAAAATATATATTTATAATAATTCTAGTATCAATAAGAATAGGAAGTACAATCTTTCTAAAATTCTGGGGAATAATGTTTGATCACGCGAATCGCAGACAGTTTGGAAAGGCTACGCGCTGTTGATACGGACTCATAAGCATATCACACACACACACACACTCAGTACACACACACACACACACACACAGGCACACACACTCACTTGCAGCAGAGCGTTTATTTTCCTGGCTGACTCGCTGAAGTGGCCTGGCCTGTGGCATGATTTGGTCAGAGCGCGATATTAAGGCAATAGGTCAATTATATTAAATTGACATCAATGTAAAAAGTTTTCACTGGGCAGCGGCAGCGGCAGCGGCAGAGACAGCGGCAGCACGCGCTCGCGCCGCGGGCAATCGAATCGAACCGAATTGGCGTTGCATATGCGCTACACTCAAAAAAACGAATAAGTGAGTTGTCAAAAATAAACAAATATAAATGATTATACAAGCTCTGATATATGTTGGTATTAGGAAATTTGATCAAATACCTTTTAAGCTTATTTTAAGTATAATAAATATTATTGCAATAAATTATTCACGCTTAAAACAAGTAAGTTTTTGCTAGAAAGAAATTAAATAAATTTAAAATCAACCATATTAATAATAAAAAAAAATAATGTAGAAAATCATGCTAACGAAAACGTGCTAGAAATTTAAGAAAAATCTTTTTAGATCATAAGCTGAATTATTTTTGCAGCACGGCATAATTTCTTTGAGTGTACCTAATATGTATGTAGGCATATATAGCACTGATTCGATTAGGTTCTAGTAATTAAATCATTTTCCATTTTCTGTTTTCAAATTGCAACTGTTGGCTGACGTTTGACAAATGGATGCGGCCCGCTGATAAAGCGGTTGTCAGGCGAAATTGTATAACCCGGTGCCAGTTAACTGGCAGTTAAATAATTTTTGAGAAATTTCTTTGCACATATCTGGCAATAATTGTTTTGAATGTTTATTGCTGTCATTGTTGTTGTTGTTGTTGCTGTTGTTGTAGATATTTTATTGTATTTATTGTTTTTGATTTTGCGGCTGATTAAGAGACAAAAGTCAAATATCAATGAACCCCGCTTATGAAATAGGCCTGCATATTAAATGTGCACATATGTATATAAATATTCTTTCATTGTGTGTCAATATTTATTTATATTTGCTATTTTTAATGCGAGTGTGTGCGAGTGTGTGCATTAAATTGAAATTCATTCAGAGTCGCAGCCAACGGAGAAAACGTGCAAGTCGCGCTCGCTCCAAGCCCGAATCGAATAAAAATTGCAATTATCAGTTTTTGCATACGCATTAAGTATACGTCGGATGTCTCTGGGGAATTACTATATATACCCATTAGCTCAGCTATGTATGAGTGAGAATGAATGAGCGACTGTCGAAGAGAGAGAACGGGAGCCTACGTATTTTTATAGAAAATTGATAAGACACTGTCCACTGGCTATTTCAATTATCAATAAAATAAAATCAAACGAAGACAGAAAAAAAAACAAAAAAATAATAATCGAAGCACGAAGCGAAATGTTTGTGTTTGGCTTCGTCTAGATCTTCTAATCTGCGAGAACTTGGAAACTTTAGGAAACTTTGGTAGACGCGTGTCGCAATGCCACAAAACTAGTTGTAATTCGTCTCAATTGCATGCGGCATGGATCCCAGAGGCCGGGCACTTGCCTAATTGAAAAATTAAATCATTTACTTTCAGGCCAGGTCATAATTAGACGCCTGCGCGCGCGCGCGCCCAGAGCCCAGCTCTCAATTGAGACCCAATTTAAGTCCAGTTTGCTAATTGTTTTAGTATCCATATATGCCAAAGAAATTGGCTGTCAACACGTGAAGCGCATTTTCTTTAAATTTGTATTTATTGTATTTAAGTACATTGTACTCGTATTTTGTTGTTGTTCTTATTTTCGAGTTGTTTTCTTTTTTGATTGGGTTTAAGGAACCTAAATTGATAGACAGCGAGCGGAAAATTCTGTACGCCCAGATATGGGGAAAGGCCTGGCCTTGAAATCTAGCCGATAATTGGGTTGAGGGGGGGGGGGGGGGGCGAAAAAAGGGGGCATCTCTATAGGAAAAGAATCGGAGTAATCGAACGGAACTTACCTGAGTCCGTTCCATTGCATGCGCAGCTTATACAGATTAAAGTTCATATCCCGAAATGATCTCATCTCCAGATCGTCCAGTTGCGAATGGGTTATCTTCAGATCGATGCTCACGTCGGGATTCAGCTTATTGGCCAGGCTATCGACGACCGCATTGAAGGACTCCAGCTTCTCGCAGGAGAGCTCCACGTGATTGAAGGCCTTGCCCGTTTCGCAGGTGCACGGCGATATCTCCGGCCGTACCGAGCATTGCAGCGTTGCAATATGAAATACGGCGTACACCAGGGAAGTCATTTTGTTGGTTGCTCGGAAAAACGAACCGTACTCAAAGAACTTTGCACAATTTCAATTTCAATATTATTAGAATTTTCCTTTCGATTCGATAGGGCTGACAGGACTTTTGGGCTGGACCAACTTGCAGCAGCAGGCGGTCGGAAAAATGTTTTGGTTATTTAGTTTTTCCGTGTGCGTGGGAAAACTGTCAGCGCGTTGCGAACATATGTGCGGGAGTTTCCATGCTTATGTATGTGGTTTTTTTCCCACTCCTTCTCTCTCTCTCTCTCCCTCTCCCTCTCACGCTGGCTCGCTTGATTTTTGACTGCGAGATTCTTTTGAAATTTCAATCACTTTTCAGGCTGTAGGCGGCATCGGATTTCACTCAAAAACGCGCTTTAAAAAACCCGCACACTGTTCAGATTGTACAGATGTGTGATGAATATGTTGTTTTTTTTTTGTATATTTTTTTTGTGGGGACTGCACTCTCGCCTCGCGCTCGCTCAATCGTTTGGGTGACCTCTTAATCTTCTAAGAACAAAACAAAAAAAAACAATTTAACACACACACATGCACGCACCGTATTGTTGTTGTTGTTGTGTTATTTTTTTTTTCAATATTATTTTATTTTTTATTTTAATTATTTTTGTTTTTTTTTTTTTTTTGAAAAAACCGCGAGTTTTGAGCGAGATTGTGAGTGTAAAGTGTGGAGTCGATTTCTATATAGTATTATTTATTGTATGTGGTATATTATATTCGTTTATTAATTGTATTTGTTTTTGATTTTTGTTGCTTCTCTTTAGCACTAGCGATTTCTAGACCCGATGTTCACGTCTTTAGCCCAACACGGTCCGTTTGCGACTGGGAAAAATAATGAAAACGCTGAGGATCCGTATGCTGGCTGCGTCGGCAGCGGCGACAGCGACAGCGACGTCGACGTCGACGCCAGCTGCTGCTGCTGTTGCTGTTATTTGCTGCTGCTGCTGCTGCTGACGACAACTTCGCTGCTGCTGCTGCTGTAGAACTTTGAGCGCGTTTTTTAATGCAAAAGTTGGCTCTTTCTTTGCTTTGCTTTGCCTTTCTTTTGGTATTGCCACAAAATGTTGCTGCTGCTGCTGCTGCTGCTGCTGCTGTTACCTATGTAATTGACCAGCGCCAACACTCAATTAGATGTGTTCCTGTGTGCGGCGCCAGGCGTCAATCTCAATCTCAAGTCGGCGCCGGCGCCGCTGTCTGTTTGGTGCGTGTTTTAGTTGCCCCCTTTGAGCGGTTGTTGTTGTTGTTGCTGCCGTTGGGTGTTGCAGCCACATGTGCATGTTGTAAGTTGAGTTGTGCGAGCTGCTGCGTTGATTTCTCAGGAACCTAGGCAACAGGCCATGCATTGGTGCGCCTACTCGTATATCTATGTATGGGGCATCATTATCATCATCATGTGTTTACATCTGTTGCTGTTGTTCTTGTTGTTGTTGCTGTTGTTGTTGGCTTCTACTCTTACGCACTGCTGTTAAATTGTCCTGTGCACGCACACGCACGCACACGCACGCACACGCACGCACACATGCTAACGGCTGCCACATGCGTTTTAAAAATCAGCGCTACGCACTCTGTTCCATTCGTATCTACATACATATGTTTACGCAGTATCTTTATCTTTCGCATCTTTGAGTAATGTTTTCAATTATGACGTTCCAACTGCACAAAAAAACACACACACAAACACAAGCTTGAAGTGCTTCAAGCACGTCAACTGAATGAGCCGGCTTGTTATGATTTGTTGTTCCCGTTGTTCTTGTTGTTGTTGTTGCTGCTGTGCCGCCTCATCGATGATAATCACGCGTAAAGATTCTGCACATTTGGCAGACCAATTAAATACCCTGCATAGATGTATATGCTTGCATAAAATGGCAGTTGCTCTCGTCTACCTCAACTGGAAAATCAATCTAAACAGTGATTATTTTTCTTTTTAAATTAAATTAAATTAACTTTTAGAGTTATATCGAATTTATAATAGCCTTTGACCATATCAATTTAAATTTATAAGCTGAGCTTAAATAAATAGGGAATGCTTATAGTTGCGGACAGCGTGATAGATAAAACGCATAGCCTTTAGATTTCAATTATTAGTTAACTTTCAACATATCTCTTACGTTAAACTTGCCCACCAATTCCAGGGTATTTTAAAAGCATGCAAGGTTTTGACTATTTTCTAAACATATGCAAAACTGCATTAACGGTGCATAGTTTGCCATTTTGAGCTGAATATCGATTATCGATAAGCCGAGCTTAGTATTTAATTTGGTATTTAATTGCAGCTGCAATGGCAGCCGAAAAATTTCAACTTGCTCGTAAATAAATCAACAATAATTGCCCACTGTCAGCTACTGTGGCAACTGGCGCCACCTCATTGCAGTTCGCCAGGCGCCACATTAAAACGAGAGAAGCAAGAGGCAGGCTGCAGCAGCAGCATGCACCATGCATCAAAGTCCGCAGCCTTAATTTATTTTGAAGTTCTGGCCGTTGCCATTGCTGGGCACAGCGCATACATAATTAACCAAAGCCCCCTTAAAAAATGCCGTCTGTCGCCGCGAATTCCTCACCAAATTCCTACGGCTGCAATGCGCGTGCCAACGCAGGCAGGCAGCCAGGCTGCCCACCCCTGCGCCGCCCTTGCCCACCGCTCTCTCTTCTGCTGCTGTTGCTGTTGCAATTAATCATTGGCTGCCGGCAAGTGGCAATTTTCTTGTGGCTTGTTGCAAGAGTGCCACTCGGACTCGATCTCGGTCTCGGCTTGATGACACACACACACGCACACCGGCGTAGGGGCAAATATGGACAGGCGACGCACGGTTATTTTTAGTGTGACCGTTACACGCCCCCTTGCGACAACTAGATGTATATATATATGTATATGTATAATCGATTAATCGTATTCGTATTAAAAATACACAACGATTGCGTAGATGGGCTATTTTTAAATTTCAATCATGCCTAAGTATTAAAGACGAAAATATTTAAAGAGCCAACAAAATCAACAACAAATATTAATTATTACTTATTCATATTTTTGTGCCTGCCACATAAATTATTTCAACATTTTTATGTGACAAATTTTTCGTGTTCCTTTTTTTTTTTTATTTAAAATTCAATGGAAACGTCAAGTTGTGCCGTTATGGCCAGATGCCGTAGCATTATCAAGTCATGTGGCATGAATTTTTGATATATTTTTGTGATAGTTGTTGTAATATGAATGGACAATTTACGGCGCATTCCTCGTTTAGCCACTCGAGCAAGATGCTGCAAATTCCAGAGATCAACAACGGAAATGATCATGTGGCAAAGCCCCGTATCTGGCCAATCCGTGCACGTCAATGGGGCCTGGCCGCGTTAATTGCGGCTAAAATATTTGGCTGGAATTTGTTTGTCGTCACGGCTTTGTCTGCTGGCCAGTGTGGCCCACTGCGTCATCCGACACGGGGACGCCATCGATCAATTGAGCCAATTGCCATACAGCTAGATATGGGAGCAGTGTTGCCAACTATCTTTACAAAAAAAAATGGCTAAAAATAGCTATGTTAGCTTATTGGATACAAATTGGCAATAAAAAAAGGTTTGCTAGTCATTAAGATGCCAAAAGTAGCTAAATCAGCTTGAAACTGTTTAACTGTTTACGGCTAATAAAAATAGCCAAAAGAGCTGAGCTGTTCGTTAATTAACTTAGTTTGTGGCTTAATTTAATTATGTAGTTTTATTTAGCTTTCTTCTTTAATGCAGAGTTGTCCTAAAATTGTTTCGACCTTCAATTTCGCAAAGTTTTGCAGTTAATTATGTATGTGTATGTGTAATATATAGTAATATATTATATATGTATATATATACATATATATATATATATATTGAAGCAGCATCCGCTTCCCGAGCACTTCATGTGACTTCGTGGACCGCCTATTGGTCAGGCTGCAATCGAGCCGCTTTTAAACAGAACTTATCCAATTAACTAAATTAAATACAATATTTTAGTTAAAGTAACATTTACAATAAAGCACTAAGCACTAATCGCCCGCCTACCCGCCAACTACTTCTGTTCAGTGAACTTGGCGATCTGCGGATATTTGCCCGGCTTGTAATCGATGTCCTGTTTAAGGCGTTCCCTGGCATTGTTGCGCACGGCCTCTGTGTAGGATGCCTGAACCACAGCGTCATGTGCAATGGCATTGATCACAACATCCGGATTGACAGCCGTATTGACGCCGGGTCCGTTCGGTCCGCTCAGACCGGTGCTCTGTAAGGCACGCTGCACTCCGCTGGCGATCAGACACTCAACATTTGGCGGCTTTTCCGACTGGATGATCTTGCGGCGCTTGGCAGACATGCCCGATATGTAGGCATCGGAGTACGGTGGCTGTGGCCGGTTTTGCTGCAATGCCAGGAGAGGATTGATTAAGCGAATCGCATGTCAATGGGCTGCGCCACTCACCTCCGCCTGGGTCTGCAGATCCCGCGTTATCACAGGCAGCCAGTCATTGGGAAAATTGTTGTGCCAGGGCTCGGAGCCGACTGTCACGGCGGGCAATGGTGGCTCCAGTTCTGTGGCGCTGCTGCTGCTGGCCACCTCGGCCATTTCAATGTCGCTATCGAGCGATTGCCTTGCCGACGGCGACTGCTGCTGCTGCAGCGGCTGTGGATGAAATGCAAGCGGTGGCGGCGCCACAAAAGGCTGCTATTAGTCGCGAGTAAGACTCAACCCCCCAACACTTCCCCTCCCCCTCCGACTTACATCTAAGGGCAGCGACGACTGTGAGTCGCGCAGCACCAGGAACTGTTGGGCATCGGCGGTGTCCGTGTGCGCCGGTATTGTCGGATCAATGTAGATGCATAGAAACTGCAAGGCTTCGTTGCGGAAATCTGTAGAGGATCAGGCACAATTAGTTGGGTGTTTAAACAGCTTCCAAAGAGCTCACTCACTTGAGCGCAGTGGCACGCAGAGCAGGCGCATCAGCTGGCGCCAATAGAGCTCCGCATTGACGCTGCCGAGGCACAGGAAGAGCACACTGTACAGGCGCTTGCGGAACTGCTCGCAGATCTGTTTGAGCTGCTGCTCGAAGTGGCTGCCGCAGCTGTTGGATCTGTAGCACAGCTCGATGACCAGGCGCAGGCTCTGGCGCAGCGTGTTGCACACCGAGTCGCGCGAATTGTATTCCGGCCGCTCGTATTGCGGCAAATAGAGCAAGCTGTCGCCGAACCAGTCCAGGGCGCGGCCAATGGCCGAGGGCATCGTCTCCTCGTTAATGGGCGCACCCTCGAAGACGCTGTGATTCAGAAAGCTGCGCAGCTGGGCACGCAAATCGCTAGACTGATCCCTGACCACCACAGCTGCTCCTGCTCCTCCAGCGCCACCTGCTCCCGCTGCTGCTGGCACGGCTGATGTGACTGGGCCGATGCTGGTCACGCTGTTGCCGGCTATCGGTGTGCTGGCTGCCAGGCCAGCGCCTGCGATGGCGGCCTCCACAGCTGCTGCTGCGGATAAGGATACGCTGGGATTGGCTCCCGCAGTGTTGCCGGCGGCGTTGTTGCTGGCGGCCCCATTGCCGGCCAAAGCTGTTTGCGCATGATTTCTCATATTAGTTACCAAAAAATTGTCAAACATAGCGGATATAAGTCTGGATATGGTTCTTTGCATGGGCCGTACGTTCGGCGGGAGAGCACGGCGATTGAGCGTGTAGCTCGCATTGCTGTTCACAGCTGCACCGCTGCTCCCACCACCGCCGCCGCCACCACCACCACCACCGCCACCTCCTCCACCACCACCAGCATTAGCAACGGTTGCCATTCCCGGCACGCTTCCGCTTCGGTTCTCACGGCTGATAGCGGCACGCCGACGCGACGACAATGGACGCGAGAGGCTCGTGCCGCTCTGGCTACGCGGCGGCAAGCGACTAGCGATGACTATGATGACACGGATAGAATGCAAATTAGATGTCAGAGATGCAAACCGGCGCGCGAACTCCTATGAATCCTAGCTGTGTGTGGGTGAGTGTCATGGTGACTGTGTTTGTGACTGTGAGTGTGTGTATGTGTGTGCTACTCGGTTACTTTTGGGTTCGTTGAAGTGGCCAAAGCTCCACTGAATCATTCATATTTACATTTTCGGGTTTCCATCTGCATTTCAATATCTTTTTAAAAGTTTGAGAAAAGGCTATCAGACGTATCTTGGCTATGTTCCATCAAGATATCTTTAAGACTGTGAGACTAGTTTGTGTGGGCACGGACATTATCCTTATGGCTATAAAGAGTCGGCTGCTGATGTTGATGGACTAATATATTGATTAGCTAATTGATTAACGAATATTCTGTTCTTAGCTTCCATCCGATCCCTTCTTTAGGACTTTATATTCAATGATGAATTATTTGTTTCCTCAATGATTTAAAATATTTAAAGAGAAAGAGAACTTCGCTTCCAGAATACAAATTTGTGTATATATAAAGCTGGTTGTCCTGATTGGCTGATTGACTGACTGAAACATTGATTGACGCACAGTACAAGCCGCAATTGCGGGAGAAACTTAATTTTTCACAGTAGTTTTCAGGAATTTCGTCAAAAAGGGTGAAAAATAAGTGGAAAACTATTGAACTAAGTTTATTGTTTGTTAAATCTTTTTAAAAGATGTTTCTTTAAGTTCAAATATTAAAATATATGAATTCGAAATTTTTGCCAACAGGGATGAAAATTAGGGGGAAAACTATTGAAATAAGTTTTTTGTTTGTTAATCTTTTTTTTTTTACAGATTTTTCCTCATATTCATTTTAGAATAGTAAAATATATGATTACGCAATTAATCGATATTTGATAAAATGAAAGAAAAACTGATTATCGATAAATACTTTGCCCGGGAGTAGCCGGGTAATTTGATACACACAACAATTTTATATTCAGAATCGTTTAAAACTGATGATTAGTTGAATTTCTGCACTTTTTCTTTCTTTCTAGAAGTTCTAACTGTCGACCGTCCACTGTATTTTATTATGTTTATATTATATTTATTGATTTAATACTGAGGAGTTGAAAAATGAAGATCAGGTGTCGTTGGTTCTAATGAAATGTGTTGCTAATCGCTTTGTTTTGGACTTGTTTTCTTTGTTTGTCTGGGTCCAATAAAAACCCGGTTTACATCTCTGGTGAATGATGTTAGGATGAGGAGGAAAGCAAACAACGTGGCGAGGCGAAGCCGTGCAGTGCCCGAGACATAACTACTGCTCTCTCTCTCTATATATATATATATATATATATAGTTACATTCTTATTCGTACTATGACTAAGCGAAATAGGTTCTAGGCTAGGGCATAAGACTCACCCGCTGCATTGCCGGCTGCTGCATTGGCCGATCTTCGATTGCTGTTCGTGTTGATGTTGTTGCTGTTGTTGATGTTATTGTTGTTGTTGTGCTGGATCAGCGTTTCGGGCTCGCGAATATGATGGCTGTTGCACGGCAAGAAGCGATCGAAGGCTGTGTGCGTGGGCGCAATGCGTCCGGCCCAGTTGTTGTTGCCGCCAATCTGTATCTGCGGCCGGGACGTCGAGCGTGTCTGCGTGGCCGTTGTGGGCAATGTATTTGCGCGCTGCTCGCCGCTGCGTGTGCCGCTCGATGTGGATGCGGCGCCTCCAGCAGCAGCCGCTCCCCCAGCCGCAGCTCCGCCAGCAGCAGCAGCAGCTGCAGCAGCTGATGTTGCACCGGCAGCTGTTGCTGCATTCGCATCGCCAGTTCCAGTGCTGTCGGTGGCAGCTGCTGGGCGTCCCTGTGGATGCACAGCAGCGGTCATCACATGCACCGGCAAATTGATGGACATCACGTTGGGCACATTGAACTCCAGACGCAGATCCGAATCGTTTGTGGCGCTGTTCACCACGGCCTGTATCAAGCGAGCCATCTGCACGTGCGGATCTGCAAGCGAGCGAAGCGAAGGAGTTAGAAAATGGAATTCAATTAAAACAAAAGCTAACTGCGCAGCAAGGAGGTCAATAGGTGCTCCAGGAGGCATTTAGTAGAGCAACAACAAGAGGAACACAACAAATTAGAGCTTTAGGAATGCGCTCGATAATTATTTTCAGTTAGATGCAGTTGCGGGAAATGGAAGCAGGATTAGAAATCAAACAGAAAGGGGAGATGGAACCTACTGGGCGGTGGCATTGGCACGGGCATATACAGGCGAAACCTTGGCCTGGCTGCTGCATCGCCCTCAGCTAAATACTGCTCGTGCTCATCTGGAGAAAATCGACAGGGGATTAGTTAAGGGAGGTTTTCTTTTTGTGTAATCTGTGCAGTTGCTTTTGCATCTATTCATAATTGGCCACTCACCCATTTCGCCCATTTCTGGACGCGGCTGCGGCAGGACGCCAGCGACTGCGGCGGCATTTGTTGGTGCCACCATGGGCTCATCCACGGGATCTTCGACATTGTCGTTGTTGCGCGTCAAGAGTCCAGAGACGACAGCAGCTGCAGCATCTGCCTCGGCAACGCCAGCTGCCATTGAGTCATCGCTAGCATTAGGTTCCGGATCAGTTTCTACTCTTCCAAACTCCTCCCTTTGCCTAGCAAAGCCGGTGGCAGGACGGACCGGAGATTCTCCTCTTCCAAACTCCTCCCTTTGCCTAGCAAAGTCGGTGGCCATGGCGCGTGCATAGAGCTCATCCATTCGCTGCTGTTCGTTTGGCGGGTTCTGCGGCTGATCCGGAGCGGTGGCTGCTGCTGCTGCTGCATTGCCGGCCACGACGGCAGCAGGTGGCACTGGAACGCCCGCTCGGACGGCACGTGCATATGTGTCCAGTTCTAGCTGTTGTTCCATGCTCAGCTGCTCCGGCTGCTGTGTGGCAACTGCAGCTGTGGCCGCAGTCGAAGCGGCGCCGGCGCCAGCACCTTGTTGCGGCACAGCCGTCGGCGGCACCTGGGCGATGAGCTCGGCCAGCGGCGTGGCCACCAGATTGGGCGTGAATATGTTATTGGAGCGTATGTAGCCGCTCTGCTCCACGAGTATGGGCCGGCAGGTGAGCACGCGCGGGCCGGGCTGCGAGAGGTCCAGCATCAGATCCGAGATGGCGTGCTGTGCATGGGACAGATAGTGCAGGGCTTCCGAGACGCGATCGTAGATGCGTTGGGCATTCTCGCGACTAGCCGTGTCCTGCTCCGCGAAGTTGGGATCCAGCTGCAGTATATCATAGTAGCGATCCAGGAAGGGCGACAAGCGCGTCTCCACGCTGCGATAGCGCTGGAAGACACTCGCCAGCACCTGGGGACGGGTCCGGCGTCGCGGACCAATCCCAGCCGCCGCCGCCGCTGCATTGGTTGCATTGTCCTCGGCAGCTCCTGCAGCTGCTGCTGCTGATCCTGCTGCTGCTCCATCAGTTGCTTGTGGCGAGTTGGAACGCTCGTCCTCGCCTGGCGGCGTGGCGCCACCCTCAGCAGCCTCGTCGTCCGTCTCGATCACATCCTCAATGATGACCGCAGCAGCGGCTGTGGTCTCCTCTCCGCTGGTATCGCTGCCGGCCACAGCGGCGGTGCCTTCGCTGCTGCCGCTGGCCTGGGTCGAGCGCTGCTGCTGCTGCTCGCCCTCCTCGTTGGTGTAGACCGTGGGCAGCTGCACCACGGTGTAGTTGCGGCCGGGCGTGTTGCGCGAGAGTGCCGCGGTGACAGCATCCTGTACCATGTCGATGATGTTATTGTTGCGCGGCATGTCCGTCGAGGAGACGCCGACCTCAACCACAGTGGACTCCATGGTCCAGTGACCGCGTTGCAGTATATCCAACGGCTGATTGTTTAGACCGATCTCCGGATTCTCCAGATAGGCGGCTATATTGTTGGCACAGTCGATCATGTGCTGGGCAACGGTAATGCGATTAATGCAAAAGGACGACGAGTTCGGAAAGCGATTCGGTGGTGTCCGGGTCTGCAAGGGATTGCAAAAGAGATAAGACAAGGAAACTAGGGAATGAGGGCTGCGACTTACCCCGGCGGCGGTCAAGGGGCCGTTGTTAACTGGTATGGCCATGGTGCCCACCAGCATGCCGTCGAGTGCCCGGAAGTATGGTGCATTGCGCAAGTTGCGCGGCGTTGGGCGGCCGGGCATGCCGCGAAAGCCGCGCATCGGCTCATCGTTGTTGGTGGCGTTGGCGCCGCGCTGCGAGAACGGCGGACGCTCGGCGACGTGCAGCACCTTGCCGTCGACATCTGGCAGAGGGTGGAAGAGGTATTGAGTGTGACGAAAGCTGTGTGTGCAGACCATCTGGTCATGACTCACCGTATTCCTTGACCTGCTTGTCATCCGCCAGCACGCGACCCTGGTAGATGATGCGCTGGTTCTCCGCGGCGATGTTCGTCTTCTCCGCAATCTGGTCCTTGAACTGGCGTATGGTTAACTGCAAAAATGGCCAAAGAAAAGCGGGTTTGGAAGCTTCTGGTCATACCACAACCTCAAAAAAAAAAAAGTACCCCACACACACACACACTCACACATGCACACACTTACCTCATTGTCGATGCTGAAGTCGTGTGTGCGAGCATCTAAAGTTTTCACCTTTAGGTTTATTAACATTTTTTCGGCCGTCTGTATCGTAATTAGCCCGTTGTGTCAATTGCGGCGTAAATGCTGTTAAATTAGTTTCTTTTGACTGCAAAAACTTAAAACAGACGGCTGGCTAGCTGCTGGCTGCCAACGGGAACGGCGCGGGTGGAAGAAGAAAATCGGTGCCGTGCCGATGTGCGATGGCTATCGTTGTGTCGTTTCTGCCAATCGAATCGCATTCGCATTCGGATTCGGATTCGCTTTTGCTCTCACTCTCACTCTCTTTTTGCGCTGTGTTTTCCAATCCGGTGTAGCCAAGTGTGCGTTTTCTTTTTTCTACTTGTTTTATTTTATTTTTATATTTTTGTTGCGATTGCGAATCGTCAAAGCCGCTTTGTCGCAATTGCACCGTATGCCAGGCGATTTCCAAGCAACTAATTCGAAATATATATCAGGTTAATTTTGACAAACAATTACACAAAAATAGCTAGCGGCTGCGACTGAGAATTCTTAACTTCTGCTTTTATCAAATATACTGTATACAATTTGTTTGAAATTTACAAAGTTGGTATTAAAAAGTAAAAACAATACGGGCACACTACAAAAATGTTGCACAGCAAACAATACATCGACTTGCTGCCAACTATCGTTTGCTCGTTTAAATAATAATCTGGCAAGGCTTTCATTGCACAGCAGCCCTGTTATGCTGACACTTGGCGCGAATATTTGAAAATATATTCAGAGCAACTAGAAAGTTTCCAATCATCTGGCAGGCCTGTCGTTGTGCTGCAGCCCTAGCATGCTGCCACTTGGCGCGTATTTGAAAGCACAACCAGCGCATTCGCGTGCATTATTCATTTACTTCGCATGGGCACAAGTAAAATGTTTACTTGCACGTCCATAAAAACACTTGACGTGCTCACCGCATATATTAACCCACCCGCGGGCCAAAGGTAACCCGCCCTGGCCCCTTTGCGTCGCCGGCTTTGAGTTGCATCCTGTGGGAATTTTTTTTGGGCGCTGCACACACACACACACAAGAAAAAAAGCCGCCGTATGAATAATAAGAAATAAACCAGGCAAAGCAAAAGGTGTAGAACAACTTTTTGCTTTGAATATTTAAGTGGCAGAGCCGCAGCGGCAAAGGGAGTTGAGCTGCGGCTAACACAATTTTTCTTATACCCCAAGAAATGTGCGGAAATGTGATTTAATGTCGGCGATTGTGAGTTCTACGGGTTCTCGAAATGATTGCCGAATATTTTTGGTTGCGGCTTTTGTTAAAGGCGGATAAATTGTGTGCGCCTGTATAAAGATTAAATGCTTAAGTAATAACACTTTAATATTTGTATAATTCTTTTGTAGAATAAATAAATATTATTATTTTTGTACCTTTAATCAGGGGAAAATTTAATAATTTGTACACTTTACTTAACGCCTTGCAATTTACAAATTGCTTTTAAATGGGCTGTAAAAAAGTTTTAATGAGTTTTTCGACACTTTACGCCACGCCCTCTAAACAGCCTCCCCCCTCCCCCCTTTTGCCCAACAGCCGCCTTCCCCAACTCTGTTTATGCATTTTCATTTTCATTATCTTTTCTTTTTTTTTTCTATTTGTTATGAATATATTTTCGTGTTTTTTTCTACACAGTTCCCTTTCCGAAAAACTTGGTCCTGCCAGTGTTGCAAATGGCGCCAAGTGTGGGCGTGACGCCTTCGCTGACATTTCCCTGAGAATGTCACGGAGCAAAAAAAAAAAGAAATATGAATAACAGCAATAATTGCTTGGCAGTTGGTTTTTTTGGGGGACTTAATGAAATTATATCAATCGGGAGATCAGGCAGCCACCCTCCAAATGGATATTATTGTTGTTGTTGTTGTTGTCGTGCGTCTGGCAGCTGGCAAATGACTTTTACGTTTGTTATTGTTAATATTTTCATTACGAAATTTGAATTTCAACACATTGAATGTAAGTTGTAATCATTGCTTGGCCAACTTTTTCAACTTTTTCGATTTGCCCCGGACGCTTTTCTGGCATTTTCTCATTTCACGTGGCGGTCAAGAAATGGGAAGTGCAGCTCCAAAGTCTCACGTCAAATTAAATCAAGCTATAATATAAAGAAAATTGAAGCCAACTCCCTTTTGTGCCATAACACACACAGCCAAAGCCATGGGCAATGGGCGGGGGGCGGGGGGAGTGGCAAATAGGGCTGGCGCAGGGGTTGGCTTGTGTCTAGGGCCAAGACAGAGGGCAGCTGATTGGCAATATAACACCCGGGAAACCAAAAGCGGCATTAACCCCTAAGTGAACGGCTTTTTCTGCTGGGAAAGTTTTTTTCTTAAACAAGTTTTTGTATTGTATAATTAACTTGTTGAGAATTGCAACGGATCAATCAACGTGATTGAGCAAAGTGAGCAAAACCAAAGTTAGATGTTAAATGGTGTTAAATAAAGACACAAGGTTCACATAAGGGTTAAGATGAAGGCCCTTTGCAAGGCTAAATTATAAGTGTTCGTGTGCGTGTGTGTGCATGTGTATGTGTGCATGTGTGTGGTTGGCTAGTTGGTTGGCTGCAATATGCTTTACGGCTCATACTTGTAATTGCTGGTAAATAATTTCCAGTTGCAAGTGGCAATTGCATTGGCCTCATAAATATCGCCAACTTGGGCGAGAACTAAAAGCCGAACCACAAAATTTATAGTCAACACTTAATCTAAGCTGTCAATGCGCCCGCAACAGCAACAACAACAACAACAATAGAAACAATGGCAACTAACGTAATTGCTGCACATTACGCCACTACGTAAAAATGGCACAGTTGTTGACCAACACACACACACACACACATAGAGTCGCACATGTGTGCGCGCAGAGAAGTCGTAAAGTTTTAGTTGCATTCAGCCTTCCCACAATTTCGTCTTCGTTTTCGTTTTCGTCTTTGACTTTTAATTTATGTTTCAATTCCAATTAGCAGACGAGGCGCGTGGAGCTTTTATGCGAGTCCCGTTAATTGACTTTCGGCCTGGCGCTGGCGCGTCATTTGTAATTGTATACGATAGAGAGAGCAAAAGAGAGAGTGAGAGAGCGCTGCAGTGTGAGCGCTTGAGAGAGTGGGCGAGATCGGGAGAGTGAGGTTAAGTGGCACGTTTATTAGCCCGGCCAATGCAGCTAATTGAAGTTCAAATTGTGCTCGGGCATTGAGTAAGGCGCTTAGCCAAGGAAACCGTTCAAATGTAAGCACTTGCACACACACACGCACACGCACGCACACACACATGACTGAGTGTGACCAGGCGAAGAAAATGGCAGACGAAGACGAATTCACAGCAAATTCACTTAAGCGACGTAAAAGCAACTAAAGCCAATTTAACAGTCAATACAAAGGGACACACACACACGCACACGCACACTCGCACACACATGCACACTAAGGCAGTTAAGCGCCCACACAAACGCATGGCAATTGTAAGGCAAACGGAAATAAAATCAAGCATAAATGCAATAATACAATTTATGTGCCAAATTTCATAAGAGCCATAATGGACTCACACACACACACACACACACTCGCACACTCGCACACTCGCACACACACACACAAATCAAGCAAAAGTCATCAACAAACAAAGGTGACTCCTTGCCGAAGTTGAACGTAATCGTAATCACGTTTGTGTGTCCCAAGATCCTGAATGTTGATGCTATTTATGTGTCATTCTCATTGCGCAAAACTTTTTGCAGACGGTCAAGGCAACAATGTTCCCGAATTTCTACTTGAAAACGGACTATGCTTCTTTATACTTCTCTGCTTTCCCCTTCCCCTTTCCCCTCCCCTTTCCACTACTCGCTGTCTTTCGCAAGTTAACAGCATTTGCTTTACGTTTGCCAATTGCATTATAACTCAATTGTAGTTGAGCGATTTTTATGGTATCGAATGGAAGTATCGAATGGACTCCTTTACTATTCGAGTGCCGGGCTATTGAGTAGGCAACAAAAGCAAAAACTTGACTTCAGCTGCGGCAAGGGTAACAACACGAAACTATACGAAGTGCTTATACCCTGCAAAATGTTGTATGGAGAATAAAGATAATATGTTGTAAGTGCTTTATATGTTAAAATAAGTAAGTTGAAGCTTAAAATGTTGTAACAATTGTAATCCCAATTCCCCATAAAGACAGGCAATAGACAATTGCTACTGCTTCATTTGAGCCAGCGACTTCTCCGTCGTTAGTTCGACTCTTCAAAACCTAAGCTAAGGCTTACTATAAAAAAGACATCTATACAAAAAAGTAGAAAAATGTTATTGCTCCATTTGAGCCAGCGACCTCTCGCTTACTAGTTCAACGCTCAGAAACCCATAAACCTAAGGCTATATGAGTTATACATATAAGTATGCCTCCTTTATGTTTTAGCCGAGATATTCCAATTATTATCGAAGATTGGACTTCATTTAATCGAGTTAAAGCCAAGTTAAAGCTTTTTGAACCTATACGAAGGGGGTATATCGATTCCATTTTAGAGGTTAGTCAGTGTCTAATAGGAAAAAATAAAATACTTACTCCCAATAAGATGTCCAAATGTTGCCAATAAGAACGTTTTAGCAAATTCCTTAATATGATGCAAGCTGATAAAAATAAATGTGCTGCTCTCACTGAAAGGGAATTTGGCTTGTGAATCCATTGTTATGAAGCTTTGCCCGAGATATCCGCATTCCGGAGTAAGTACCCATTCGAATGCAAAGACATATCAAAGCAGTTGAACTTGTGCATTAACAATTTGCCAACCTTAATGCATCTCCAATGGGCCATAAATTGTGCTGGCTCTTATATGTTATTTTTGGGCATGGTCAGCGCTTGAGGGCACTTCAGGGGCAGATAGCGAGAGAAATGTGGAACAGGTGAGCTGAACAATTGTTGGTTATGCAATGGGCATAAGTGATCCGGCGACACGCCCTCCATTTGGCTGTCACATTGTGTTGGGTAAATTGATTTGCCACGATCTCGAGATAGAAATGGATTTATGAAAGTCACGCCAAAAACTGGGCCAACACATGAGTAATTGACCGGGCCACAGTGCGCGAAGTGCGTGCAGCTATTTATAAGACCTGGCTGAAGCTAGAAAATAGCAACAGTTGATCGACTTCCCGCACAGCTTCAACATGGCACACCCAATCCTGGCCCTGAGCGCAACTCTGCTGCTGCAGCTGCTCCTTCTCTCGCCCGCCTGGGCGGGCATTAGCTATCTGGACGATGAGCATGCCGTGGCGCATACACAGCAGAATGTGGTCAGGAGCTACGATGGCACCGTCTCGCACTATGCCAAGTCCCTGGCCACGCCCTACTCCCAGGTGCACAAGCAGGACACGCGCATCAGCAACAATGTCTACCAGCCGGCCATTGCCAAGACCATCAGCTATGCCGCTCCAGCGCCGGTCTATGCACAGCATCAGCAGCAGCAGCAGCCCACGCTCTTCACCCAGGCAGCTCCAGTGGCTCCCGTCTACCATCAGCAGCAGCTGCAGCACATTCCAGCTGGCCATGCTAGCTATGCCAGCCAGCAGCCCGTCGTGGTCCATTACTCGCCCGCGGAGACCGTTTCCCACATGAGCTTCGATGGATTCGGCACTCACTGGGGCTACTAGGCTATTTTTAACTATTTGTTCAACTATATTTAAGTGTTTGCATTCAATAAAAAGTATTTTTAATATATGAGCAGAAGTAACTTGGGACTTTTGAAGTTGCGGGTTGCCGGTTCGAGTCACTAGTAAAAAAAATATAATCCTCTTTGAGCAGACGGTCTCATACCCTTCTTAGCTTTAGTCTAATAAGTTTTGCTCTCTCTATTAATAAATAAATCTGCGATCTCTGCTTGTTATGAAAGACGAGGTTCCAGTCTAGTCGGACTTTCAACTTTTTTTTTTATACCCTGAACCCATTGAAAATGGGTAAAAAGGGTATAATGTATTTGTGCAAATGTATGTAACAGGCAGAAGGAAGCATCTCCGACCCCATAAAGTATATATATTCTTGATCAGCATCAACAGCCGAGTCGAGCTAGCCCCGTCCGTCTGTCTGTCCGTCCGTCCGTATGTATGCACGCAAGGATCTCAGAACCTATAGGAGCTAGAGGCTTGAAATTTTAGCTGTAGGTCCTCCTAGTGCCCGGGCAGATAGAGTTTGTTTCCGATATTCGATAACTTGCCCCGTTTCCAAGTAATCGATAAAAATCGATATCGAAATCCTGTTTTTAAAGCAATTATGGTAAATAATATGAGCTAGAGTCACCAAAATTGACATCTAGCTTCTAGAATAGTAAATATATATAAAGTATCTTTCATTTTATACTTATCGCTGGTTGGAAGAAGAGGGTTCAGGGTATCCCCTAGTCGGGAGATCCCGACTAGAACCCCTTACTTGTTTCATCATTTTGCGGGTCAAGAGAGATATTTGGCATTATTACGGATTTTTTTTAGCTTTATAGATCGTTTTCTAAGTTTTCTAGATTTCAAGAGCCAGAGAAACCCTCCCATCCCATAGAAAATCTAATAATAATGTTGTATATTTAATTTCCCGTAAGCCAGCCTTAATCTGAGTTCATAGTTTCCTCACATTGCGCTCACGTCTTCGTGTTGGTGGCTAAGCAAATCATAAAAATCCGCACAAAGTGCACTACAAATAGCCTCAAGTAGGACATTAGACTGTTGTTGTGTTAATGCCACGCCCCCTCCCCCCCCCCCCCTCGACGCCCACACTCTAAGTGGAATGGTCGGGTTACGTGATTTGTGCAGCGCAAACTTAAAAATCGGACATGAACGCTACGTGACTCGCATAGGAAGTGCCCAAGGAGCGGCAAACGGAAGCCAAAGGACACAGCATCAACTGAACTAATCGGATTTTTATATTTGATTTCTCTCTTTTTTTTTCTTTGTGTTCAACTCATAGTCAGTAGCTTGGTCGTTATAAATTATGCACATTGACAATTGCATGGAGCCAACCTGGAGCTCTTGAGGGTCATAATCTATAAATTGAAATCACATTTTTGCTAGCTCATTAATTTTGCAACTCAGAATGGAAAAACTTGAGGCAAACGGGCCAAAAGTCAATTTCGGCATCAAGCTCTTTTCAGCTCATCAGTTGGCCGTAAATGATAGCTCCATTAGATGGCAATCAGCTGAAAAGGACTGCAAATTGTTCAATTGAAAAGTGCCCGCAGGCTAATACGCAAAAACTATGCGAATAAATTTATGTTTAAATTGCCAGAAACTGTGTGCAACAAATTGCAAAGAGAAGCTGGTTAAAAATACCTGGTTAAAAGTACCTGGCAAATAGTAACTGGTAAAATGTTGCTGTCAACAATTTGCAGCCAATATTTCGGCAAGCCCAAAACTTAAACTCTTCTGAGGATAAATTAATATATAAATAGCCACAAACTGTGTGAAACATATTGAAAAGAGTAGCTGGTAAAAAGTAAGCAGGCAAAAAGTAGCTGGCAAAATGTAACTGGCAATAAGCAGCTGGCAAAAATGTAACTGTCAAAAATTAGCTGCTAAAAAGTAGCTGGAAAATAGTAGCTGCCAAAAAATATCTGCTGAAATGTTGCAAAAAGTAGCTGGTAAAAAGTAGATGGTAAAAAGTAGATGGTAAAAAGAAGATGGTAAAATGTAGCTGGTGCGGCACGCCGAAAACTAAATACCCTTTTTCGATCAAATTAACATTTGATTAGCCAAAAATATCACGTAAAACAACAAAGTTTTTCGTAAAAGAACTTAATTTTCGACCTATCATTCCTATGGCAGCTATATAATATAGTGGTCCGATTTGGACAAGATTTCCTCATACGTAACAAGTACATAAAATCTTATAAATGCCGAGCTTGGTAAAGATATAATTTTATACTAACGACCGATCGTTCCTAAGACAGCTATAAGATATAGTGCTTCGATTCCGGCCGACTTCCACACACATGCTGCCTGTAACAGAGAGACGGATCAAGAATATATATATATATATATATATCATCGGTCATCGGAGACGTCTCTTTCTTCACCTTGCACATTTATAATACCCTCCACAAAAAAATAGCAAAATGTTGCCATAAACTGAGCTTAAATGCAACAGTCAGCGGCTGCGAGTTGAGCGGCCTCCAGCAGCAGCAGCAGCAGCAGAAGGAGCAGCAGGAGCGGAAGCAGGAGCAGCAGCTGGTCCTGCCTCTGGCTGAGGTCCTGCCTCGCCACTTGACTGCGAAAAGGCGCAATGATAAAATATTTGCGCCGCCAAGTAAATTGTTGGCTGAAACTTGGCTGGCAAAAAAATGAAATGAAGAAAGGCCAAAGTGTGGTTGCTGTTGTTGTTGTTGCTGCTGTTGTTGTTGCTGCTGTTGTTTTGGCCATGTTGTTGTTTTGCTGTTGCGGCCAAAGTTGAGTGGCAACAACAGCCCCGTGCTCGTCCTTAGCCACATGGCCCTTGCCCAGCGCTGCCGTCGTCAAAAGGAAGTTGGAAAAAAGTTAAAAAAAAAAAACAAAAAAAAAAAACAAATAGCAAAAAGAAAATAAAAATGCAAAATGCCCAGTAAGACGTATTTATCAACATAATTACATTTTTTAATGGCTTTTTAAACCGCAAAATGGCCAAAGCCGTAAACTGAGATAAAAGTAGAGCATAAAACTAGAAGATATAGTGGCAAGTCGCTTTATAAGCTTTGTTGTTGCTGCTTTTCCGACCGCTTTCCACGTCTTGGCCAGTTGTGCAGCCCGTGAAAAATGTTTGAAATGTGCCAACGTTAACTCAATTAGCCGTTTCAGCGAATTGCAATAGCTTGTTGCCCAGACGGAAGACTGAAAAAGCTGGACTCCAGCATAGAGCTAATAAGGACACATGCATGAAAGGTAAGTAAACCACAAATGTGTTTGTAGGAAGCTGGTTCGAGCCCTGAAAAACCCTGCCATGAAAGCTAAGTTAGGCATGATCTATAATTCAGTAACTCATAATATACAATTTTTTAAATATTCAAAAATGAATATAACCAAGGCTGCAAGCCGATTTTGAACCGAATCGATTCGAGTCCAAAATTCCAATCAATTTTCTTTTTAACATGAATCGAAGCAATTGTCCAAGAGCGAAAACCAAATCAAGTATACTTAATTTGTTCAAAAACGGATTGGCTTAAATGAAAAACTTTTAATGAATATTCAGAAGCAAAGCATTGATAACTTTGGCCCCAAACATTGAATTTATCTGACCAAATAAAATAGAGGCAAATGTTGGTCAGATAACAAATTTAGCCCGCCTTTTTTGTATATGAAAATATTTACGGATCGCAATATTTGCAGTACAATGGGGCATTTGTTAAAAACAAATTTAAATTTTTTAAATTTTCATATACAAATTTTGAATAACAATTTGCATATAATATATGAAAAACTAAGGTTTGAACCAGAAACTTGGTTCTAGCTTGTGGAAAGCCAGCCAAAAGCCTGGGAGTTGCTTCAAGCCGTGAACAGAACCAGCAACTACTTTTATTGTGGTTTGCAGCCTTGATTATGTCATGCTCACCACACAAGACATTTTACCCGCTAGATGTCTTGAGTACGGGGTATTTAATCAAAAACGCAAAGTGCAATGCCGGGAAATACCCAGACAATGAATTGTATCTATAGGCAACAAGTGTGGCACGCACTTACTCTGCATAAACACGAGTATATGAATTGTTTAGAGCTTTTGCAACTCATGCAACCAAGGCAACAGCACAATAACAAATTATAAGAGTGGGCGAGGGAAAGAAGGGGAGAGAGAGAGAGGGCAATTTGGCATGAAAAAAATAAGTAGTAAGAGAGAGTGGAATTAATTTTGATGTATTACCCAATATATAAAGCATTTTAATAATATTATCGCAAATATTATTATTGATAAGAAAGGGCATCCAAGCTATGTCCGCAGCAAATACATATGTATGTGTATGGTTCTCAGCTAGACAGAGCATAAGCAGCAAGAGAGCGGGCGGGAGAGAGCGAGAGAGTCATAGATAAAAGATGAGAGAGATAGAGATGGAGAGAAAGAGAGAGCTGTCGAACTGCTGATCGCGTGGATTGTAAACAGAACATCGAATCGACAGAACTCAGTCGTTGTTTGTCATTTAGAGAGAACGGTTTGTTGCACCAAAAACCGCAAAGTTCGCGTTAGCGAAACGGGTTTATTTATTTTCGTCAGGCAAGGGCGCGCACACACACACACACGCACATATATAGGCACATGACATGTGCGTGCCGTATGTGACGTCATGAATGCATTCCCATTGGCTACGCGAAGCTTTTTCGAATGGCGATTAGTTTGGCGCGCAAATGTGTAAAATGCGAAGAATCGATAACACGCTGCTTTTCGCTCTGTGCGCGCTTATCGTATCGATAGCTCAGTTTGATCGATCGCTGGCCTTTGGCGCCTCGCGTCTGGAGGCGTTCAAGCAGCGGCTGCGCAGTCGTCGTCATGCGGCCGCGCCGCACGCTTTGAACACCGACGAGTACCTCAGCTACGATGGCATGCTGGACTATTTGGAGGAGCTGAGCGGCGCCTACAGCCAGCGCGTTCTGCTGCAAGATGTAGGCGTCACGTATGAGAATCGCACGCTGAAGACCATAACGATTACCAA